CCAACACCGAGAAAATGAGTGATCAGTGATTATCCTCTATTAAATTGTATTACAGCAAGAAAATGTGAAATTTTGTATTCAATTACAACAAAAATGACTTCCATCATCAGAAAGTTTACAAAAACCTACATATAAGACATTTACTGTCGTTCCAATTGAAGTGTTGCTCAAATATTGATTCAATACATTACCTCGGGCTGACCAATTCATTTCATCAAGTTCCTCGAGATATTCATACACTTCCTAGTATAATTGTAAACTTCCTGTTGAATATAGTTTGAATGCACCAATCACCTTTGTTGTTTGTGCAACTAACCAATCATAAATAGAAAGGAAGTGACCAGAAATTATCAAATACTTGGAATTGGCTCTTTCACAGAAAGTGTATGAATATCTCGAGGAACTTGATCAAATGAATTGGTCAGCCCGAGGTAATGTATTGAATCAATATTTAAGCAACACTTCAATTGGAACGACAGTAAACAGTTTGTTTTTTTTATCTAAAATTGTTTTCGAGTTATACGCTGTCAAAAACGCGTTTTTGACCTAGTACCCAGTCCTTATTGCGACATTTTGGTCCAATTTTCACATTTAAAACAGCAATAACTCAAAGACTATTTGAAAAATCAAAAAACTGTTTAGAAGTCTTATATGCGGTTTTTTGTACGTTTTCCGATGATGCAAGTCATTTTTATTGTAATTGAATTATAAAACTTCCCATTTTTTGCTGTAATACAATTTAATAGAGGATAATCATTGATCACCCATTTTCTCGGTATATTATATATATATATATATATATATATATATATATATATATATATATATATATATATATATATATGAATGGGTGTGAGGTACCATGACTGGATACAACCTCGTTCCCAGGGCTTTTCCCTTTTTGTCATTGGGAAGGCGGGAAAAGGCCCTGGCACCGGCCGGTCTTCTATGTATTCTGATTGGTCAATGACAAGTATATTATTATGCAAATAATACAATCTTGGATTAATTTATTCAAACTTTGGGATAAATTAATATTTTCACGCAAGGAGTGTCCATTATTAATACTTTGTGCAAAATGGTTAAATTCGATAAGATTTATACACAATTTGTCGAAGGTTAGTATTATTGTTTGTTTTAAACTGTGAGAGAAGATTAATTGTGTACTAGAACACACCTCTGAGGCTCAGACCGAGTATTTAGGGCAAAATGTGCCTTCATATTTGGCTTCGTATAGCGTTTATAATGTTTATATTTATAAAACTAAAGTCTGGGTTTTAATATAAACTGAAACATGACCTTTAGTTTTTGATATTCTTCATAGTCGAGTTTAAATTGGCCTAATTTATAGTTAGTTACCACTAGAAATGCGACGATATTTTGTTATATCATATATGCAACAGTGTTTACAAGTACAACTTTTGAATAATATGCGATTTGGTTTTGTTTCAGATACTATTACATGTTGCTTCATTTTACCATAAATTGTGTTAAAAAAGTGATTTGCTCATTTGGCTGATGTTACAGTTTTCTGATGTGTTTTGTTTGGATGATATTAGAACAATTTCAATATGAAAGTGCAGGTGTCTTTAGACATGAGCCATAATGTATATATATATATATATATATATATATATATATATATATATATATATATATATATATATATATATATATATATATATATATATATATATATATATATATATCAAAATACTGATAAAATCCATTTCCAGCTTGATTGTATTTGCATTGTTGCAGACAAAGTTGTGCAATGGTGGGCTTATGTCACATACTTGTATGTAATTCCATGTGCCTGCATGTACTTTGATGCCTCAAGAGATGCTTCGAATGTGTAATAAAGGGCTGTTCGCAGGAGAATGGGCTGTCTGGCCTTAAATTGCATTGCTTTTGTTGCATGCCATATATGCTCTAAATTTCGTGTCGTGTTCGGTGAGCGGTGAGCGTACCGGTCACGTGGCAGATTCGTAAAATGCGAC